GGAGGAGGTCAGATGTGTGTTGCATCGGATAGCTGTGTATTACACCAGGAGAATTATGCTACACTCTAAAAGGAAATCAACATGAATTTAAAACTTACCTAGAGTTAAGCAATTCGCCTCTTTTTACCCAATCTTCAATAGGAGTGTTCATAGCATAGTCCCTTAGATTYAGGTGACGAAAGTTCACGTTCTCATAGCTTTCGATGGCATCGACAAGAAGTTTTTGACGACCGACGAGAGGACGATAGGTGGGACATGAAAACACAGTGAAGATTTGGAAGTTGGGATTATTCAGAGCAGCCGATTCTATTGAACAGGCTTGTCGAGCCGTCAGATTCATAATGTTGGATCCCGAATCTGGAGAAGTGCAGCTGGTCTCATGAAAGAAAATGCTGCGTTCAGGCGGAGGCTGCGAGCTCGAATATAGTATATTCTTGGTAACATTCTCAGTTGAAAGTAAGCCGTAAATTCCATTCGAAATATTGGAAGAGTCCTTGATACTAGATAGTACGACTAGGAATATTAGAGTAGCAGCCAGAACTGGTATTACGAGACGTCGTCCCATCTTGTAAACATACTTCGACTCTTTCTTCAACATGATGAACCGATGCTGCTGGGGCTTAACCACACACTAACCAATAACACCAATAATAAGGTTTACATACATCTTGAATTTTCCTAAATTTGAATTGTCACAATTCAGTTTAGTCAGCTGTTTAATGCTTTTGTTTGCTTAAGACATTCTGGTTTGAAAACTAAAAGAACAAAACACTCCCAAAATGCTTGAGATACATTTTAAGTTCAGTGGGTGTAGCTAGTTAGTTATGAGGATTCAGATAGGTAAGTACATAATGTTAATTATGTATCATAATGTTGTTTTAAAAATGTTTTTAAATAGGGAATTTTTACCGCCAAATTACAATAATAGCGAGAAATGGTCAGCTATTGTGATTGATTGCGGAAAATTGAATGGGCTCGATATGTTCATAAAAATCTATATGTACAATTCGATTATTTCGCGATGAGTCCAATATCAGATAGTTTTTATTGATTAATAATTTCCATATTGCACTATTATTGAATTAAGGAAAACAGATGAGACTCTATTGAGCAATTATAAGAAAAGTTAGCCAGTTAATTAATTTTAAATTCTTGTTGTTGCCAAGCCACAGAATTTTATCGATATTTTCAAAGCATCCACGCGATATAGCATTTGCCCATCTCCAGTGTAACGGCACTTGTCAAAACGTAAGCGCTAAATTAGTTCTGGCGTGCTTTCACATTTATATTTTCACGTGGAATCCTAATATCAAAGTCCCACAATCGAGTATAACGCTTAAATTTAAGATTGCCAAGATGCGGCGCCGTGACATTTTACGTTTGTGGGCTCAGATAGTGCAACACACAGGCATAGAGAAATACACCGCTGAGGAATGGCAGGAACACTATGAGGATTTCTGGAAATGCATGCAAACGAATGAAAATCCGTATATACGTGTTGAAAGTGTAATTAAATGAGCAGGACAGATGTTTTAGTATAATAATTTAAATCGAGTTTTGCTTTTACCCCATAGATTGACTTAATGTTAAAGGATGATGTATCAATTAAACCAGTGCAACAAATCCAACGGACAAAAAGGAATAATGAAACGCGGATTGATAATGACGAATTGGAGCCACAGAGTGTGTTACGAAAACGTCTTAAATTAGAGGCGGATAATATGTTATTGATGCAGAAATCAAATGAATCAAAAGTGACTCCTGGAATGAAGTGTACGCGAAAGAGAAATACAAATGATAAAATCGAGGATCATATTCCAAAGTCTAATACCACCATTGTAGACGAGCCAATGACAAGCTCAAAGTTACAAGATAAGAAAGCAAGGAATAGAGTATCGGTATCTAATAGGGATAATTTGCCAAAAGATCAAGTAATAGATAAGGCAGAATTTTCAATTAAAAAATTAACGAACAACAATTGCACTACGAATGTCCAGAGTGACTCACCTGAGAAGTGGAATCTGCCAAAAGAACAGCTATCTGATGAAGAACAAGAAACTTTAAATGAACAGAGGGAACAACTTCAGTTAGAGGAGGAGATTAGCCATCTAGAAGCTGAACTGGAGCAGTTATATGAGGCGGAGACGCAGCCTGAGAAACCTATGATACAAACCAAAAATTCGAATAAAGAAAAGAAAAATAAAAAACTGGTGGATGAGCCGGAGGATGAGCAAAGGAAGCAAGAAATCGTTAGGATAAAAAAGCAAAAAGTACAAGATAAATTAATTGATGAGGTGGAGCTGGATAATGAAAAGCAAGTAGATGAACAAGAATTTTTAAATAAGTTGGAGCATGAGATTTGGATTTCGAAAGAAGACCAAGGAAGTCTAAAAATAGAGGAGAAAAAAGATAAGAATGTATCAATGCAAGATAATACAAAACAAATAAATGTAGAAAAATGCCAAGAATCAAAGCAGCAAAAGTTACAAACGCCGCAAGAAGTGGAGGAGAGCATTTCGTTTTCAAAATCTGTGAAAGAGAAAAAAAATCAGAAGCAGCTTATTGAGCCTGAGCCCGAGCCAGAGCAGATTGTTACAAATATCAAGGTACGTAATACAAGACACAAACGCATTATTTAAATAAATGCAAAATTTTCTTCATTTTAGGAAAGCAAAAATAATTTGAAAAATTCTTTAGTAGAGCTTTCCGTGCAGAACTTGTCAAAGAAGGCTGAAGAGCAATTAGACAGTATTAATTTAAGCACCAGCGCAGAACCAGAATTAAATAAGAAGCTAACAGAAACTCGATATGGAATGCGCACACGTTCGCAATATGTAGAGAAACAAGAACCAAACAGAGCAAATCAAGAACAACAGCAAGTGAATCCGAATAAAAGAAAACCCAGATCATCCCGTAAATCAAATGCTGTAAACTTAATTTGCGTTACCCTAGAGTTCTCGCCACCTAATCAATTTTTTTTGTTACCACAGATTAATGAACAGATGGCGCATATGCCAGAAAAAGCAATCGATATGTCTCCAACCAGTCATGCAGCTTATACTGCGGCTCCTGTAACTGAAAAAGATTCGTCATCAATTGAGCCTGAAAATCTCAGCATAACTCAGTTAAGTAACGATATAGAAACTCCAAAAAGTGACGATTCCGTAACGTTAAACCAGACGGATTCTTTTGAATTCAGCAAACCAGATTCGACATATTCCAAAGCCAATTGTGAACTAGAAGATAAGCTCATCAAGGAAGTCATGGAACTGGCTGTACCAAGTGGCGGAAGTACGGATATAAGTCAGTTATTGACTGACGTTGGCAAATGCGAAATGTTTCAATCAGGTGTGGAAGAAATCGATCGTTGTTTGGAAGTTTTCATTAATAAGACGCCCAGTGAAATTGATCATCAGATAGCTGATACATCTGAATTTTTCGATAATTTGCCCAGTCTATCAACTTTAGTGGATAAAACGCCTTTGGAAATGGAAGTACTACTGAATGATACGCTCAATTATGATGTTGACGTCGAAGATGATGATGATAATGATGCCATATCGGTGACCACATCCTGGGATGGCGATGATCAATTGCCAGTGCCGAATCCCGTGTTGTCTGAAAAGGAATCAACTATTGGGGAGCAGCCTGAGATGATTAACTCCGCTGCAAAGACGGACCCTGCAACACAGAGCAGGGAATCGCTGTCCTACCGCATACTCAAAGGGACATATACTCAGACAGAGAAGCTGCAACCACATAAAGAACAAGTACAATCGACTCAAACTGTTGTAGACCGGGAAAAGATGGAGCTGCAACAGCCAGCGCCACAACAAAAGAAGCAGACACGACCACAGCCAAGGAATGAACAAGTTATACAGGCTGAGGCACCATTGGACGTGCAACCGAATCAAAGTGCTGTAGACCGAGAAAAGATGGAACTGCAGCAATCATCGCCACAACCGAAGCAATTACTGCAGCAACAGCAATGTCAAGAGCGACGGCAGCAATCGCTTCCACGGCTGAAATTCATTCCATTACATCGTACAATTAGACAGGATTCGTTGCCTACAGAAGAAGCCAATAAGGTGCCCCTCTTTGGTCCTCTATATCGTGTGCCTTTGGAACCAGCTTCCACCGCTCAATCCGCTATTCCAAATGAGTGCAAATATTTTATATTTGGCATTAAATGCTGGGCCTATTTGGACGGCCGGTGCCAGGACAGCAACTGCAATCACAGGCTGGCGAGCCCGTGGGAAGTGCAGCGGAAGCTGAACCAGATGACGACCGATAAATTGTGTGACACCTACAGCATGGTCTTGCGACATGGCATGTTGTTCCGAAACTATTTTATTATTTTCGCTGAGATCTATGGCAATCGGGGCATGATGTCGTATTTAATGAAAATGGTTGAGGATTGTGGCTTATATATGGCGTATAGTGCACCCTATATCACTGAACTCTACTGTATCTTGATGCGTTACGATCTAATGCCACAAATTGCAACCGACCACATTATGAAGCATCTATGGGGTCCAGAAATCGGTCAAATCTATCCGGAATTTGCTATGCAACTTCTCCGAATTCTTGCGTCGGCTGATTGGTTTAACTATGTACCACAACTGAAGCATCTCTTCGAAAATCAGAAATTTCCCATACCCGGGGAATTCATGATATGCTTGACTAATGATGCAATCGCCAAGAAGGACAACGCGCTCGTTAGGAAAGTCTGGGAGATGATGCTCTTTTGTCCCATAAACCGAAACGATGTCACACTGACTTCCGTCGTTCAAATTGTGAACGATTGGTGTTTATCAAATCCGTCGACAATGCTGCCGCAGCAACTGGAACAGCAACCAAACCACCCATCACAGGAAAAAGAGCAGCCGCAAAACTTAAAGAGACGCTTCAACAATTCGGGTCAAAGAAAGAGAGGGAGGAATAACTCGGCAAATCGATGATTTGTAACTGATTATGTAAGCGTCTAAAAATAATATTAATTTAATATTATTAATTAATATTATCCGCTTTCCTTTTCATTTTAAAGGGTTCCTGGATGACTTTATCGCTTTTAACTGTTGAGCAGCACAAAGTGAACGAAATTTATACTTTTATTTTTATTTTTTATTGATTTTTACACAATTGAAATGTGTATATACTTTTGTTTTATTATTAACTTACATTTATAAACGGATTTAAATGCTTAAAAATCTAGTTTTTCTTTTTGCCCCGATTCCAGTTCTTTTTAGCACCGCCACCGCCGCGGCCACCTCCCGCTGCTCCCTTGCCCATGGGTTTCATGCGCTTCCGCGCGCCTGTAAACTGCTCGGAGTCATCAATATCACCAGGAGCAGCGCGTTTATTGCCTTTGCTGCCCTTATAGCCTTTGCTATCTTCTAGATCTTTCAGCTCCAGCTTGGCCGTGCGTTGCGCTTCGGCGACGCGTTCTTGCAGCGCCATCACCTCGTCCTCCTCGCATTTGTAGAGCGGCAACTGCTTGCCCAACAATTGCTCAATGCGCTGGTACAGCTCAATGTCATACTGAGTGACCATAGTAATGGCTTGACCAGACCGACCGGCACGCGCAGTGCGCCCAACGCGATGTATATAGTCCTTGCTGTGCGTGGGTATATCAAAATTGACAACCACATCGACGTGAGGAATGTCGAGACCACGCGAAGCTACATCTGTTGATATCAATATGGAGCGATTCTTCGCCTTGAATTTGTTCAGAGCAGCTAAACGTTTATTCTGAGACATCTGACCATGTAGCGGAATAGCAGCCAATCCTAGGGCGCGCAGCATTAGCGCGGTCTTAACAGTATTGTTACAGGTGCTGCAAAAGATCATGAAGCTGTTGCCTGCCAATTCGTTGAGTATATGCACGAGATACACATCCTTGTATTTAACTGGTATGAAGATGTAGTACTGTTGCAGCTGATCTACTGTTTGGTATTTGTTGGATACTTCCACTTTGACAGGATCTTTAAGAGATGCGCGCTGTAGCTTTTTAACCTTCTTCGTCATCGTGGCGCTAAACAGAAATGTGCGACGCTCGCGCGGTAAAACCTTTAATATCTTGTCTAGCTCTACCTCGAAATCCATATTAAGTATGCGATCCGCCTCGTCCATGACCAAGTACTTAATAGCTTTCAAATTAAAGCCCTTCAGGTTCTCCAGATGATCCACCAGACGCCCGGGCGTAGCAATTATTATGTGCGGTTTCTTTGCCAGCTGCAAGCCCTGTGCCACCATATCCATGCCACCGACTACCACACAACATTTGATGCCGATGCCGCTACCTGCGGAGAGAGATAGAGAAGAAATCTATTCAAAATGTTGCTCATTTTGGGTTAACATACCATAGAAATAACATTTTTACTCAGAGGTAGTGACGAATAAAGAAATAATAATTTCATATTTTCGTTTAAGAACATAAAATCAAAAAGGGTTTTTACATCATTGTGGATATATATATGAATAATATGTAAATAACTAGACTCACCCAGTGCTTCGAACTGTTCACCTATTTGAAAAGCCAATTCACGCGTGGGCGTCAGCACCAGCGCAAAATAACGCTGTGGATTCTCGAGCAATGCATGTAAAATGGGCAAGGCAAATGCTCCCGTTTTGCCTGAGCCGGTTTCCGCCAGGCCAATGATGTCTTTGCCCTGCAGCGCAACAGGTATTGCTTCCTTTTGAATTTTCGAGGGCGCCTTCCATTTCAGCTCTTCGCATGCTTTGCATAAAGTTTCGTTAAGTCCCTAAATATTAAAGAAAATATATTGAGCAGTTTTCGATGTGCTTGCTTATTCTCAGAAATTTACAAGTTCTTTCCAGGTCTGCAGCTGTTCGCATTTGGGAGCCTCAGTTTCTTCGGATTCATCAGGGTCACTAGAGTCTTGATCTTCAGCATTTTCACCGTCAGCTTCTGCGTCATCTTCAATTTCTTCCTCATCACTTATCTCTTCCTCGGTTGTTTCCCCATGCGCTTGTTCGTCTTCTGAAGTTTCCGACATATTGTTACATATTATTCTACACTCTTGCTCTTGCGGACATTACCAGTCGCCACACGTGCTCGTTGAGAAAAGAACGCTACGAGTAAAATGTGGAAGGCGTATGCTATCGAAATAGTATCGAGTATTATTTAAGTAAGCGGCAACCCTTATTGAATATTCTGCAATATATCATAAAACTCCAAGCTACATTTTCGCATTAAATTATCGCCAACGCATCAAATATATAAGCATTCAAACACTCCTTTTGAGTATATATTTAAATTTATATAAAAAATAAATTGGTCACGGTTTACAGTAGCCCTGAACTAGTGAATGAACAACCAAATCAAAGTTAATTTTTTCGGTTCGTTCACCTGAGGGATAGTTCGTTATGCTTAGTTCGTGAACATTTAATTTGCACGACAAAACGAAGCTAAAAAATAACAGAAACGTAACATAATTTAGTGTTCAAATGAAAAGTATGCACTTAATCGAGCACCACACAAGGCACACAATTCCAAAGATTCGAATTAAATAGAAATCAATACCAGCAATATATGGAAGTGAATTTTTCGAGCAACCAAAACGCCCACCAAATAACCGAGTGTCAATTCTCATACAACTGAAACATTCACAAACTCTAATCTGAGGTGTTTGTTTCCTATTTGTTGTAGTTGCCGTTAGATAAGATTATGATGTGTTTCTAATAATTTGCAATTGCATTTTAGGTAAACCATAAAAATCCATTGTGAAAATTTGTTGGGTGGTGGGAGCAAAACGGATACTCAATAGTAAAAAGAGCGTAAGCTAGCGCAAAGGAGAGTGTGTGTGTGAGTGCACAGTGGAGAGAAGCATGACATGTATTTGATGTGTACTCAGCGGCCGAAGAGAGCGCATTAAACAAGAACAAAACACACACACACCACTGCGAGAAAGCTTCTTGTCGTTGTTGTTATCGGTGTGGGGGAGTCAAAGTCGGTTACGAAAAATACGCGGCGTAAAGCGTGTGTGGATAGCATAAAGTACACATACATACGTATATGCACGCATAATCATATATACAGAGTGTAGTATATTTTGCGAAGTTCGCACTCCAAGTAGAGGCACACAGAAAACAGGAAACAAAATGAATCCAGCAGTGGATGCATGGGTTATTACCCAGCGGGAGAAGATCAAGTACCAAGAGCAGTTCAAGGCACTACAACCCCAGGGCGGCTTTGTAACCGGAGCCCAAGCAAAAGGATTTTTTTTGCAGTCTCAGCTGCCGCCGCTGATCTTGGGTCAAATATGGTGAGTAGCTGAACTGACTCATTTGTTGTTAATATACACATATGTATATGCTCACATACAGTTATTCACTGTGCAATGCTGGCAAAGATAAGATGACAACAAAAATTTTGCCGATGCTTTGTTTTGTTCTTTGTTTTCCCATTTTGTTGATATGAACTAGAGATGTGATAATGAATAGCTGCAAACTAATTCTTAAGCATGAATCACGAAAAATATAAAACTGTTTATATATGTGTATTGTGGAGGATTTATTTTTTCTCTTTTAGTAACTCCGTTAAATATTATTAGTTAATAATGAGTTTTTATACGTTTGCACTGCTCACATATAGTTAATCATGAGTCTTCAATATAAAATGGTCAACAACACAATTAACTTATTATACGGTTAGAAAACTATAGTAAATTAGTTACAGTTGATGCTTTTTGGAAAACTGATTTTAACTGTAAGAATATAAATGTATTTT